TAAATTACAAGTATGAATTATACAGGTTTGTTTGAAGATGTTTTCTAAGCTCAACAAAAACATTAAAGTTGCTATTTCTTTGTATCCCGCCGATCAACTATACTCATTTATTTACTTACTGTATTCATATATTTACTAGGCCCTATGTTGCATTATCTTAATGAATTACACCACAAACTTACTCAAGTTGTATGTTAAATTTACGTTTATGTGCCTTATTATAGTTATTGGTATACCAAGGAATGTAACCATAACAACAATGAACCTGAACAGTACTGCAACATGGCAACCTCCTGTTGATGTTAACGTCAGCATGCTACCACTTGTAACGTATTCGGTGAAAGCAGGAGAATTTATTAGAAGGTAATTTATCAAAAAAATGTTCATGAAACGCAATAGGTTTGGCACTTTGATCTTTGAAACATTCCCAAAATTACTAATACGTTTAATTTAAAAAAAAAATCAAAGTACCGGTAACAATAGAATATTTATACTGCACATGAATTATTGTTTTGAAAAATACAAACTAAATTCTGCAGTGTAAATTCTTTACTAAAGTATAAAATTAAAATCCTTCTATCAACCCAAAGTACGAGGTTATTCTGGCCTCGACCGCATTAAAGTCACAATAAGATATCAGATATGTTAAGTTGTAAAATTGTTACCCAAACCCAGATTCGTCAGATTATAGCACTCAACGGGAACAGCGATGTAAATGTGGAGACAGTTGGGGAGAGGAACACACCCCTTCTGTTAGGGAGAGATGCTTCCCCCACCCCTCTTCGGGGTGAAAAATCACAAATCGTCGGTAGGAAACAAATACTATGCGCCACCACTGATCGAACCATGAGTGAGTGTGAGTTCATAAGGTGAACATCTTAAAACTATCGTGTTTTTTATACTACTTATCATTGTTAATACCGTCCTGTTTCAGAATGAAACCTGTACCAGGATGTCAGGATATAAATGAACTTGAATGTCACATCGGCGTTTTTGGAAAAAATGAATGGTACTATGACGAAATTGACAAAGGTGTTGTTGAAGTCACGGCGAGTATTCTGGGTGATACGAGTGAACCAAGTTTTGCAAAGCAGAACCTCCTAGTTGAAGGTTTGCAACCCATATATTCGTGAAAAAATAAAAGTACCATTATATTTTCATATTTTAAATATCCACTCTGCTAAAATATCAGAAAATTTAAAAGGATCATATATTTATATTGTTTATAATTAACCTTAAACCAATAGCAGATAAAATAAAGTTTTCAGAAGTGTTTAAAATGTTAGTAAGTTAATAACTTATATGAATATATACAAACTATATCACCTTCTTCTGGATAAGTTACAAAGCGTGTACAATAATTGTGTGTGCAAATCATTAATTTATAGCGTATGATAAATCCGGCGAAGTTTCAATTTCCATTCATTAAAAAACTTTATACTGAGAAACAAAACAAATATAACAAAAACCACAGAGGAGAGTGATGTTTTGCCCTACCTGACGTGTTATCGTACCGAATAATCAGTACGTCCCCAAATAGGCCTACTTATGAAAAAAAAATCGCAAGTGATTCGGGTGGAAATTGAACCCAAGACCTCCAGATATCTAGCCTGTCGCCACAACCACTAGACCACCGAGCTTGCGATTAGTGACTAGTGTTGAATCCGATCCCCAAGTAGCAGCGGATACTGCAAATACTATTTCGATGCGAGTTTAAGTCAGGAAAATATCACAGGAATGATGTTTTGCCCTACCAATTGTACTGAATATTCAGCACGTCTCCAAATACTTGTGATAAGAGTATTCGGTAAAATAACACTTCAGGTACCTGAAGTACCTTCACTATCATGATATTTTTCTGACGCAAACTCACAGAATTATGAAGGCTTAACATGGCTTCAGACATATTTGTTAAATGCACGTTTTCATATGTCATTTTATGCTGTCAGGCCCAATTAATGAGCAGCCTAAAGCTGCATTCACATCGGATCCGGTGAAATTCAGACCGCGTTTCCGATACGCTGAATGGCAGCGAAAAATTTGGCTTACACGCTGATTTGATTTTCTGACCGGTTCGGTAAACCTTCCGATCCGAAAATTTTGATTCGGTGTAAATGTAAAGTGTTATTGATTGACAATATATATACACTTAAATGTGTTTAAATCTATAAATACACATTCAGTTTATTCTAACCAATTAAATATGTATAGGTTTCGTTAGCCATCTAAAAATATCTTCAATAACAAACAAAAAAATGAGCTATAAAGTACGCCTAACGTAGATATTCAACCCAATGTGCCTTCTGCTAAGGCAAGAAAACTAACTATACTTGTAGCGGTACTAATCACAATCTCGGGTCCGTAACAACAATGCTCGGTCCGGTTTGCTCGCTACATGTTAGTGAATTTTCAATATAATAATACATAACCAAGGCCCTACTACAGGGCTTAATTCAAATTCAATTTTTCTTTAGTAGAAAATTCACTAATCTCATTAAGGATGTGAAGAGAATGAGTTTTTAAATATAGGCGTAGAAAGTTTGCAAGCTTGCAAACAAATTTAATGTGGTTTGTCTCATAATAGGCCTATTTGTATTTTATAGCACTGATGGGTCCAGGGGTTCTTCAGATCAACTCAACGGGCACCAGCAGTATATCTGGAGAAATTATCTATCCACTGACACCATATGTTAGACAAGACAACAAAGAACCAATGAGAATGAATGATGATGACCTCAACCTCTATGAGATGAAAACATATTTGTACCTGAGACTGAGAGGCGATGACGTAATTCAGGATCAGGTAAAGTTTACTTGCAGCTGACAACTTTAATATTAAAAATAATAATAATAATAATAATAATAATAATAATAATAATAATAATAATAATAATAATATAATGATGATGATGATAATAATAATAATAATAATAATGATGATAATAATAATAATAATAATAATAATTAATAAATAAATAAATAGATAATGAAATAATAATAAATAGATTTATAAAATCCAACGCAAAGTCCTCAAGGCGCTACAGAATGAAGGAACAAAAAATTACAGTGAACCTAAGTCACTTACTGCGCCTGACGGTCGTTGGCCGACGCGATTCTCTGGAGAACGCAACGCTACGACGCCCGCGCGCGATTTTTTTTTTTCCGTACGAAACATTTACATGAAACTCCACTCGGGCCGTCTCGGCTGAATCGACCCGAAAATCTCATTGCAGAATTCAGTAGGTCAAAAGGTCATCAACAGATAAACGTCTACAGAACAACTTCTGGGAGAACGTCGCTGTCTGATTTTTAAAAATACATTGATGTTACCATGTTAATACCAATGGGTCGTTTAAAATGACATATAATATTTGATTAAGCTGCACGAGTAATGAAAATTGTTATTTTAACTTGAGTTACATATTAGGACAATTTTAATTTTTTAGTTAGGCCTGGGTTTTGCATAATTACCTAGGCCTACTAAAAACGCTTTCTGGGAAAAGCACAAAGAGTAAGGAAAAGCGCGTTTTTCTTCATCACTGATCAAATGAAACAGAATGACAGTTATTTTCAAATAAAGAGAAGAGCTGAGAATAGGCAGCTCTAAAATACTGGATGACATAACCTGCCAAAATGGCAGAGCACCAAATGAATGTAAAAATGAGCTATAGTTATTAATATTAGGCATAGTAATCGGCAGGTTCTTGATTACAAGGCTAGACCAAGTTAATTACATGTAATGCCGAAATGATAATAATAATAATAATAATAATAATAATAATAATTATTATTATTATTATTATTATTACCTGTACGTTAAGGGGAACTTAGACAAAGGGGAAATAACACAAATGATATTCCCCTTGAGCTAGTTATTATTTAATTATAGGCCTTGAAATAGTATCTGTAGGTTCTTCATTGCAAGTAGGCCAAGGTAATTAATTCTGAAATGATTATTATTATTAATTAATTATTATTATTACCTGTACCTTAAGGGGAACTTAGACAATGGAGGAACTAGAGGACAATTAAAAAAACGACGTTAAGGGGAAATAACACAAAAGATATTCCCCTTGGGCGATTATTATTTATAGGCCTAGTAAATAGTACAGTATCTGCAGGTTCTTCATTACAAGGCTTAGGCCAAAGGTAATTAATGCTGAAATTATTATTATTATTATTATTATTATTATTATTATTTTTATTATTATTATTATTTAACATTAATTACATTACAATGATAGTTTGGTCAAAAGTTCAATAACGCCGGAATGGTATATTATTTATTTAATATTTCTCTTATGCGCTCTATTTTTCATTTCATGCTTCAATTTTGTCCCATTTTTCCCCCCAAAATTTCAGTCAATGTCAGTATGTGAAGCGTGACTGTTGTGTCAGCCTATGACCCTAGGCCTAGTTTAAGGAGGGGCCTAGGTAAGAACTCAGCTTGTAGTTAGGCCTATAGTTTATCCTCTTTCTCTCTAGCCTTTGGTATAACTGTACCTATCTACACTTTATAACAGGAGGTACTAGCTGTTGTTGTTGTTGTAAATAATATACTAACATTTAATAACATCCAAGAAGGTCACAGTTAGTTATACAGTGACGTACATCACATAAGTCCGTGAATTCATAGGCCTACCATAGGTAAACATAGAAAGAGCAATACTGTAATAGGAGTCGAGCGTCACGACATTGCGAAGTGTCTGCTCTTGTTCCTCGTATCGTACTCACTCGAGTCAATCTGAGATGGCCCGAGTGAAGTTTCATGCAAATGTTTCGTACGGAAAAAAAATCGCCGCCCGCGCAACGGATCTTTTTTAATGACGATCCGTTCACACTGCCACCAACTATCAGCAGACTGCGTTGGATTCGTCGGCCGACGCGTCGTACAATGCAGTGAGTGTCCGGCATTAAAGCAACCAGAAAAGAAAAACACCACACACATCGCTGCACCGTTTACAGGCAATTTGAGGCACCAGGCATACTCCTAATGTGTCTGGGTTAATCTGTGCAAGTGTTGCTTCTTTGAAATATAGCAACAATTATCATTATCTGCAAAAAGCAATGAATAGTTTGCATAACTTGAACGATGAAATTATTATTATTAATATGAATTGGACTTACTTCTTCTCTCAGCTGACACGGAGAAGTAGCGAGACCCTTTTCCATTTCGAAGATCTTCAGCCTGACACAAAGTACATTATAGATATGCATCGTAAGTATGGTGGTACACCAAAAAAGGAAACGAAGACAACGACAATAGAAGTGGAGACTAATAGCGAGACTACATCAGGTTAGGCCTATAATATGACATTGAACCTGTGAAGGGTTTTTGTTGGGGCGTTTATTCGAGGGAGACGTTTATCCGAGGAATACGTTTATTTATTTTGTTGTAAAATAGATACGAATATACTCAAATAAACGCCCCATAATTTCACTGCAAATGTGGAACTACAGCATATATTACCGTCAAAATTGTGTTATTGTGTGATTATAAAGACTTAATGATTCCAGTCATGTTAGAAAAAAGGTGAAGTAGAACGTTAATGGTTGTGAATGATTTTGCTTCCATAATTTTTATTTACGGTCATTTAGGGGGAATTTATTAGATAAAAAAAATATACGCCCGGTGTGTTTATTAGAGGGAGGCGTTTATTCCAAATGAGGCTCTGGAGGGGGCTTTTATTTAAAATGGGGCGTTTTTTTCGAATAACATATTAGGGTTTTTGATCATAGTAAATGTGTCTAAAAGTGCAATGTATCTTAATGATCACCAGCGGTTCATGGCAAGCTATCGGGAAAAGCCCACAATAGCTCTGTGTCCGTGAACATATAAAATAGTTGTTTTGTTTGTCGGGTAATTGCAATAACCTATATCATTTAGTGTGTCAAAGAAGCGAAATATCAAATAAATATTTATTTCCAGAACTGACAAGAGGAAAAGTGGAAAAACCAACTGCCGACGTTGTATTTCTATTGGTGTTAGTAGTTTTGGTGTATGTCTCTTTTGTTGTGGTGTCTTTTGTGACTGTTTTGGTGTACCGTTGGTGGCGCAAACAATCGCAACGGGATAAAATTACAATAAAAAATGTGAACAACAAGGTGCGAGTACAAATTATAATACCGGTAGTGCCAGGCCTGTCATTATCATTATCATCATCACCACCACCACTACCACCCTCATCGCCATCTCTATCACCGTCATAAGTTCTCATCTTCATCATAATCTTCCTCATGTCATCACCATCATCATTATTATGATCATCAAACATCAACATTATTCTCATCTCATAATCATCCTCATCGTCGTTATCATCATCACCATCATCACCATCTTCTTTCTCTTTTACGATTTATCATCATCATTATTATTAGGCCTATAATAATTGTTTATATTACCTTGTCGTCGTCATAACTGCGTATTTCCTTATACAGTAGTCCTATATAAAATGAATAGACATTTAGAAATTTCCACTTTAGATCGGACTCATGCGGAAGTGGGCCACGATCAACATGAGATCCGTCGCAGTTTTCTAGACTATAGAGTAACCCTGTCGTTGGTACTTGTCTTTTCAATATTTCTACAGCTGTCAATGTTGAGAAAAACATACGGAGCTGAACCACAACACAAAGAAGTATACAAAGAAATATTCGATGAGCTGACCAATCGGAAAAACTTGCCTTCAACAAGCGCCGACAACCATCATACTCAAACATTTGAAAAAGATGAACTCCGTGATGTAAACTTAATAACCATGGAGAAAAGAGGCACAGAGAGCGTTTGTAATTCAAAAATAGGGACTTCGTCATCTGCATCAGATGCATTCTTTACTGCGTCACACACATCGTCAACAGTTACCGATTCTGTCACCTATACAACAATTCAATTTCAAACCTCACATTATTTACGTCTTGATCCCGCAGTAAATTTGATATCAGCGCAATGTAAGTCGGTTAATACTTCTCATGAACAAGGGGGTATATTAGTTACACCCCCACTGGAATGCACTGACTACATTAAGTGGGGCCCACCAAAACCATCGACTAAAGAGTTGCCCACTAATGAGGCTGCTGTTTCTGCCGGATATGTGCCGATGAAACTGCATCACAATTTGGTAACGGTATGCCATAATTATCATCATGGTGAGACAATAGAACCCGTTAGCGATAGTTTCGGAATAAGCAACCATCATACTCATAACATTTGAAAAAAAAGATTATAAACTCCATAGTTAGGCTCACTTCACGGCTTTCATCATCATTTAAAACAAGATGATGAACGCCGTGATGTAAACCTAATAACCATCATCGAGACGAGATGCACAGAGAACGTCTGTAAATCCAAGATAGGGGCCGGGCTTCATCATCTGCGTCAAACGCATTTTCTACAGCGTCAAACGCACGGTACTGTGCCACACGCATCGTCAGCATCTACCGATTCTGTCACTTACACAACCATTCAATTTCAAACTTTAAATTACTTACGTCCTAACCCCGTAGTAAATTTAATATCAATACAATGTAAATAGGTTAATACTTCTAATGAGCAAAGGGATACGTTGGCTACACCCCTACTGGAAAGCACTGACTACATTAGGTAGGGGATTGTAGAGCCCACAAATGTAAAAATCCAACACAAATGTAAAATAACCACAAATGTAAAAACATTGTACCCACAAATGTCAAAGTAACCGCAAATGCAAGGGCGTCGGAAGCGGTCCGGCTGGTTCGGACCAATAATTTACAACTCAATATCATTTGTAAGCCATAGTCTACTTTCTCTGACACAATCAAACATAACTTGCACATTCAAATTTGCAAGGGGCCCGCTGCCCAGTGGCAGTGGTGAAACTAGGTTACGATTAGCCGTTTTTCGAGAGTGCAGTCATCACTGAGGTTAATAATGCTATATCAGGAAAAATAATGACAAAATCACAATTAGCTTTTTAAATAATATGAAAGAAAGTGTATTGCAAAAATTATATAAAAATAAATTGTTCAAAATGTCTATCAATTCCATAATTATATGAAATGAGATGAAATGAGATGCTTATTCCACAACGAATGAAAAAATAAAGTGCAAGAAACACGAACACATTATATAATGCAATATGAATAACAATGACTATAGGTCTATTATATTTATACAAATTAACGGATGTTGTGAAATACCTAAAAAAGATTCTAGATTCAAGAACACTTTATTGTCCATTTTAAAATAGGAATTTGTTTTTCCTTTGCAACAGTCTTGGTTAAGAAGAATAAAATTACATTAAAAATCACATGACAGAACAACTTGGCAATGGCGATAAATACGTTAAGATATTAACAATTTAAAATAGTAAAGTAGTAAAAAGTCAACATAGAAATCACTGTTTAAATCTTTTTAAAATTTACTATGTGTATCTCAGAAACAGACCAGCCATTTTAGTAAAGATTAAAACTATAAAAACCTAGCATTTTGCTATAAAATAATTACAGCATGCTAATTAAATAAAACGTGTTATGTACACACAGGATACAGTATTCATATTCCTCCATGAATAGATAAAAATGCAAGAAACAGGAACAAAATGATATTACCGTATATAATGCAATATGAATAACAATGAATGTGCGCCTATTATATTTAGACGAGTTGACATATATTGTGAAATACATATAAAAAGATGCGACCTAATTAAATTAACATGTGTTATGAATACACAGGGTACAATATGCTATGCATTTTAGTAAACCTATTAAATGTCTTTTGAATTAAGCTAGGTGAATACGTTAGATTTTAAAATATCAGACTGCTAGTATATTATTTAGTATTATTATTTAGTAAAGTTTTGGTTTATTAATGGCAGGAGGACCATGTATGTAGCTATTCCCATCATATGGACAGATCTACCAGGTGATAAGTACTCAATAGGGCAATAAGAATCAGGGTCATCAACTTTGGGTGAAGAGTCATAAATATTAGAATAAGGTACTGTACGTTTCTACAGGGGTTCTACTCAGGCCCTACAACAGTTCCGGTCAGGGTGGTAGGACAAACGCCAGGGAAAATTTTGATTAGATACTTATTAACTGATAGATACTTATTAATCAATTCAACTGATCGATTTACACTTTTTTGATTAAAAGAATTACTATGACATGACTTAGACCGCCCAATATACATGCGCATTCTTGAGGTTTGCATGATCTCAGCCCCAACCATGAGGTCAGTGTGGACTCCTTATTGTGAACTCCCCCCACCCAGAAAATTGCTGGATCAGACCCTCCTAGATCCGTTACAAATAGTGTAATATTTTACCAAAATGGCTGCACAGGAACGTCGGCCATCGCGGAGGTCTGGTTGTATTAATTGTGGCCAGGAAAATTACAGGTAAAACGGGGACTAAATCAGGGCAAGACTTAATAATCACAAATGTACTATTAGACGCAAAGACATGAGTAAATCATTCCTGATGATGACATAATTAATGTCGAAATATTGAATCCCAACACGATGGCGTGTATTTCAATACTTGGAGTATGTATTATACTTTTATGAAGGCCCTGATCGTATCGAGCCAGTTATTGACTGTCTCTTATACACATCTAGATGTGTATAAGAGACAGTATATATATAAAGATATATTAAATATTATAAATAGGACTGATCAGGTCGTCATTCAGAGTTCATCTTTCCCATCCAGACCTTGCCTTTGAAGCTCCTCTTCATAAGTTTGTAATTTTACAGAAAATTTATCTAATATGTCAGATATTTCCCGCCACACCTGTAAAATGCAAATTTGCTACGTCAGATATCGTACCGATGATACAATTTTTCTATTTTTGGAAACTTGTAACTGACGTTTCTATAGGTTAGTTTAGCAATAAATCTACATTTTTTGTAAAGTAAACATATAAAATGTTGTTTTTATTATAAATTTATGTAAATATTAAACAATTTTGATAGAAAATATAATTATAATAAAAATAGCCTAATATCAATATACCAACACTACCACCACCAATATTAATAATAATAATAATAACAGTGATAATGATAATAACAGTGATTATGATAATAATAATAATAATAATAATACTATTAATAATAATATTAATAACAATAATAATAATAATTCAAATAGCTTCTCACACTTTCTTCTAATGCTGATATTTCTTCAGTATCGATGGTCTTATCATAATTGTCATCAAGGTGTAAAAACACCTATAAAGAAACGAAACAACTGTCATACAATGGTATTGTTATATTGTAAATTGTCATAGTTATTACTGTATTAATATTATTGTATTTATTTCTGTATTATTTTTTTTTTTATTATTACAATACAATATATAAACTTTATTTCGCAAATTAAATGCATTATTATAATACAAAATAGATTTATTTATATTTTTTTATTTCTCAATTTATATGTTTGGCTTCGATTAGACGTTCATTGTCGATATGTGCACATTATAAATCCATAGAAAATATATTTTATCACGCCTAAGTTTTGCCTCGTAGAGCAAGTTTAACTCTTAGGTAAGACTTTTTTTTATACTTGTTTCGCATTTTATTACGCCTAAGTTTTGCCGCGTAGAACAAGTTTAACACTTAGGTAAGACTTTTTTATACTTGTTTCGCGAACGTATTTTTTTTAAAGATCGTCAGAGGAATAGGTTTACAAAAAACATCCAGACGGAAGAGAAAATAAAAATACAATTTTATTGGTGAATGTAAACAGTGTAGTAATGGGATAGTTAAATGCTTTACATTCATATAATCAGGAAGAAATATACATACTCTATCTTATTTTGTAGATTTCAAGGCAGTGGCGGAGTAATAAAAATAAAGGAAAACTTTTATTTTCTGAAACTTCCATTTTTTTTTAGGTGGCGGGTGCGCTAATTGGGCAAAAATAAAATGTTATGTTTATTCGAAATCATCACTATTGGCGGGCGGTGAGTTCGCTAAACGAGGTATAAAAAAAGTCTCGCCTTATCAACGTTACCTCTGCCGCCACTTCATTGAAGAGTTCATTGGTAGATTCATCGGGAGGTGCTTGAATGACAGACGATTTGAAATCCTGGTATGTCATTGGCTGATTCGTGTTCTGCGTTATCGACAGCATGTGATCTCTGTTATTAAAACGCAAATATAAGTAAAATTATAGACCGTTACCCATCATGCCATCCCCTCCCCCACTGAATATTAGGCACTACCTGATTGACTCTGATTCCCTGAACATATTCGTCACTCCATTGAATTCAAACTTGTCGATTGTTTTGAGTTCTCCGGGTGGAATATCTTGGCACTGGCTGAAATCTTGATTCTTCATCATATAGTGGTTCCACCAGATGTTTACTGCGATGTTTCTGTCTTGTGATCGTACTTGGTGGAACCTGATGGAAAAACTCAATTTAAGTGCATATGCATACATTGACTGGGGTAAAATTTGAAAAAAAATACAAAAAAAAAATGAACAACATGAAAAGAAAAAGTTGAATTGCTATTTAAAACATTTATTACCAACCATTATAAAGCAGTGGCGTATGTGTGGGTTTGCGGGGAAGGGGGAAATAAGCACGCCCTACAGCCCTCACCACCCCATTCCCGAAAAAAAACCACGCTCAAGAAGTTAAAAATTACCCCATATCACCTTATTTTGTGACCCTGGCAATAGAATACGTACCAACGATATGGAATGTATAGACAGTCACCAGGCTGTAAGTCGACATGATGGTACTCGACACTAAGCAGGCCGGGATACTTGTCAAAGTCCACACTTTGGGAGAAAAATGTCGATATTAACTTACATCATGATGACCACATTTACAATGAACATTAAAGTTTACTGACGAAGCTTTAAATATACAATTTTTTTATTATGCAGATGTTCAAGAAAGATTATTTAAATTGATCTTTGTTCTTTTACATTACAGGAACAATGAAAATATTAAAAAATAAGAAATGTATAAGCCAAAATAAGTCCCAATTTTACCTTTCCGCTAAACCCCACATTGGATATTGTTGCTAAGCTGTGCGACCTTAAAAAAAAGGTACGCACACTCCGTGTTTGGTCATGGTCATACACGTACACATTCTTGGCTATAAAATAACGCGTTCTGATTGGTAAGATTGTTGTCAAGTTTGACACTTCAGAAGCGTCCATTGAAAGCACAAACCGGTAGAACAGACATGGGTTATTATGCATAATGTTATTCGCAAACCTAGCCTAGTAAAATAATGTAAGCTAAAATAACAGTAAATGATGTCTGATATACTACAGATTTCTAGAAAAACACCACCTTTCAGCGCATAGACCTAAATCCATCATTTTAGTATTTTTTCAATAATTATTTGAATTACATACTCGTCGACGTCTACGCCACAGTAGTTTCCAGGATGTTTGAGAGGTATCTGAATAAACGATCAAAAAGAAGATTATTTCAACATCCATAAACACGATATTAAATAATTTCTAATTCTATGAATTATTATTATCGCATCTAAACTAATTCCTCCATCCCCATGGAAACCAGGCTTTATCGAAAGCTGTCGGCAATAGCGTGTAGCGATTGTATGGAAACCAAGCTTAAGACAAGTTAACAATGTTAGATATGTGTATAACAATGGAAGAATAATAAACATTCTGTAGGTCTACTTCGATCACATAAAATACATAGGCCTAACCTACGTAACCAGGGCCGGTGGAATCGGGGGGGGGGGCCGGGTCCCCCACTTTTTGGCAGAAAATATGTGTCTATGCAGATTTTTGTATATTCCCATTCATCTTACTAGTGCTCCACCCATTTTGTGATTGGCTAATTACCTTATCGGCATATTTTCTGTCGATGAGTACCACATGCTTACGGCCTGCCATCACGCAGTTTATGTTATCCACTGAATCAATGTGTAACACAGACGATGTACCGCCATTACTAAACCACATCATCTGAAATGACATAAAATAATAAACTCAGAGATGACCGATTATTTGTGGTCAAGATTGAATCCGACATTTGAAAAACTAAAAAAAAAAATAGAAGACACAAAGGAACGGGCCTCCGTTTCTGGAGTGGGGTTGACCCACGAATTCGAAATCCAGGAATTCGAAATAAATGGGGCCCAGGACTATCACAGATAGAGGGTATAATATAGATAGGCCTACCACCGCAGCCTCACCATGGTTGGGGCTGATGGTAAGAATATTTATGATTATGGCACCTGGAAATGGCACTCAAAGACTTAATTTGAATAGGCCTATACTTTTTTTTTTATCCATTGTTTTTATAATCTTGAAAAATTTAGAAGGGTGGGGGCAAGAATCTGCCACTGGACTCGAGAATATAAACAACCGTAACAAGTTCTTAGGTATAAAATGATTAATGGTTTTGAAATTTCATTTTGAAAGATTGAAGATCAAGACGTACCCAGAGCCTTCAGGGATGGCGCCATGATTTTCCCGACGGGGGGGCCGATGCCCCCAACGAGGGGGCATCGGCAATTTTGTTTCTCCCCAACGAATTCTGCTTTTTCTCCCCGACGGGGGAGGGGGAAGCAGCTTTATCCGACGGGGGACCCCCACTGGCGCCACCCCTGAGAACCTTTGAGATCAGACTGCTATGGTTTTAAAATTGTACTTGAGTAAATTTTGTTTTTCACACCATCATAAATTGTGTTCCGGGATTATAACAATTACAATCTTTTGCCTGGTCTTAGCTTACCGCTGATGAAAAACTATCCTTCATTACGTGACACTGAAGAGGAGCAGGCAGAACGACATCCTTTCTGTATTATAATGAATAAAATGTCTAAGTTAATAGCTTTTAATATATGTAATATCTACTGATGACGTCAACCAACAAATCATCGCCCATTTTAATGTTATATAGTGTACGGTCACCCTGGGGTTCATCACGACACTTAACTATCATTATAGCATTATTTTCATTAATCGTCGTTTCATCACCACCATTATCATCATTATTGTTAGGCTATCATAGTCGCAATTGTCATCGTCACTATCCTTATTATCATCCATCATTGTCAATATCATCATCATCATCATCGTCATCATCATCATTATTACCGTCACCACCTCATCATCATCATCATCACGTTCGTCGCCGTTATCATCATAATCGTCATTATTATCATTATCATCATCTTCATCCTCATCATTTGTCATAATCGGTACTATCAATCACCATCATTATCAGAAAGAGATAAGCACCCTTTAACTCAAAATATCTATAGACTATTGATCACTGTATTATTATGTATTTGAATACATTTTATATATATACATATATATATATATATAATTTATTAATTATATTATTATATAGTTTACATATTCTCAATCAGAGATGATTCCATTCCCTTCCTTTTTTTCGGTGTTCAACTCCCTCGCTTCTCTTAATTTAGTTCGAATTTGCTTAATGGAAAATCCCATTCCTTGTTGTACAGTAGCGTTGTTTTCGACAGCGAAAACGTACGTAGGCCTAAACACGTGCGTCGGAAACCAGCGAGTGTGGTCAGTTGTTAATTTTGAAGATCCATTAGGTCATTGTGCCTATTAATTTGCATTAAAGCTGGTTTTGGTTCAGGGGTGGCACCAGCGGGGGCCGGGGGCCAGAACCCCCGTCTGGGAGAGCTCCACGTCCCCCCCCCCAATCCCACCAACGTCGGGGAGAAAACACACAATTCGTCTACAAAGTGTGTATGTATTTTACATATTAGTAGACCCCAAAAGCTTTTGAAACATATATTTCGGGGGCTTCGCCCCCTGGAACACTTTCGGGGAATTTGAGCGACGCCCTACCACGCCCACTTGTATTCGTCGGTAGGCCCCGAGACCCATTGGGGACATCGGACCCCCTCGTCCAGAAAATCCTGGCGCCACCACTGTTTTGGTTTGCCTTACCTTATAGATTCTGGAACACTTTCAACCATATACATTTCCTCATTTTTGTATCGAGTCAAAAATTCCAGAAAGGTCAGTCCTTCGGTGCGTTCACTTTCCCTGTTTTCTTTTTTCTCTCCCTCCACAGTAACAATAGTTTCACTGTCGGCATGTCGTAGCAGGTATTCGTCTGTCCATAGCTTGAAAGCCGGGGATATTTTACCGCCTCCTCTGACAACAACAGGCTTAGATACTAATGCAAAATTGTTGAAGAAATCACTCGCTTTCGGCCAGTCGCTTACTTCGTACACTGTCAGTTGTGGTCCTCGTTCTCCAAGCCGTTCCCCGGAAGCATAAACTATCGCTATGACAACCAGGAATTCCCAGCGTAGACTATATTTTTTAACAGAAACTGATAGTGGATACATTTTGTGTGTATATTGATGTCAGTAAGCATATAAGCTGCAATATAAACCCGGAAATAAGACAATTATTTACTTGAATGCGCTACAAAAAGCATATTGTTTGGCGACGATTTTATGGCATTCATTGAGGAAGTTTTACGCTAGAATGATTTGTACATTGTACATGACGTCATTCGATCACAAAAACTTACTAGTCTACACATGGAAGTAATGAGGTTATAACCGTAAGCAAAGTAGTTTATTATGGACCTATTAATATCCTACCTCCTCCAAGAAGGTTAAGTTGTTTGTGTGTTTTTATCAAAATATCAATAAAATGTTATACATTTGCAGGCAGTATTGTGTATGAACCAATGAAGGGATGATTAAATATTAAATTTTAATAAAGATCAATAGTAGACGGGTGTATATCTATCTATGTATCTATCTATGTATCTATCTATGTATCTATCTATGTATCTATCTATCTATCTATCTATCTATCTATCTATCTATCTATCTATCTATCAATCTATCTATCTATCTATCTATCTATCTACATATATACATGTATATATGTATGTATATATATAAATCATCAAAGAAAGGTAAATACAGTGTTCGAATAAAGGACATAATATATTATACGCAACTATGTATGTACTGTCTCTTATACACATCTAGATGTGTATAAGAGACAGTATATACATGGACTCACCTTCAAAATGTTGAAGTGTGCCACTGTTAAAAAAGTGTAGTTTTCCAAATAAATTACTAACAGCCGTATGCCACTTTTAGTTTACTGTATGTTCGTGTCGTCACAACACAAGGTGGCGCCTTTTGCTGTCAACCAGACGTTGTCAAGCGGTCATTACGTGCAAAGGTGCCTGAGTTTGTTGAATTTCCAGTCACTATTAGGAATAAGTTTTAGCCGGTGTTAAAACATAATTCGTAATATGCGTGTTTTTACGTCGACATCCAAGTCGCCACCAAAGTTTTTTTGTGGTTTTGTTTCGATACCTGGTAAGGTAAAATAGAAATAAATAATTATTTATTAGAGGTTCATTAAAAAAAATAGCAAAAACTGTTCAGAATATTGCTTGCAATATAAAGTAAAAAATTAACATCCACATTTTCATTGAGAAAGGTCGCAGATACAACCAAGATATTCACTTTTTCCACTAAATAAAAAGCATTTTAACCCAGTTTTGTTGAGGCTTGAAACACTATAAAAATCTGTCTTGAAACCTGAAGTACCCCCTCTATTATTCTATACGGACTGTTGAATCATGGAGGAAATTATTAAATATATTTCCTCCATGGTTGAACATAGCAAAGAACATAGCTAAATTCCTGAAGAAAGGTTCAGTCTTGGTAGCCTACTCGTGTTCGTAGCATATGAGTTGAGTACTCGGAGATTATTGTATGCAATTTCCTGCATGTGTGTTTTCAATTCAGTGTGATTCAGGATACCGTACATTATGGTAAGATTTCCTTTGTATATTTAGGCCAATATTGCGTGATTTATATAATAAAACGAAATATGAGTAGGCTTAGAGTAAATAAATAAAATAATAGTAAATAATTGCTATATCCATTTTTTTTATTTGCTTTTGGTTTTAAAGCTTACGAACTTGTATGAATAAAATTAAAAATGTAAAACGGAGGAAGGAAACGACGTAACTTAAGTAAATACATGGGAAAAACCTAAATGAAATAGTCATTGATTTTTTAGAATCTATAAAACACATGGTCTCCGATCCCAGAAAACAGAACCACCCTAAAAATATGTTATCAAACCTGAAGTACAATGATTCGATAGTAGCCCTATATACGCCAATTTAACATAGACCTATTATTAAACATCAATCCAATACAGAAGTAAACTGGCGCACTTGCTATGGATATATATTTTGGACAAAAGTGAATATAATAGCCTAGCATAATATCAAGCTAATGGGCGAAAACTGTTTAATTGAACTTGATTAACGGTGTTTGTATTAAGTAAATCATAGGACCGTCAACTTTTTCCCATGATCTGAAGAGATAGTGTAACCCATCAAAATTTCTTCGCGACCCACACATTGGGTCGCGACCCAGGTTGCAATTTTTGAAGGGCCAAATAATGTTTATAAGTGCAATTAAGGCTATCTTGGGAGCTCTAAATTGCAAAACGATGTGCATCGTCAGAGCCGTAGCAAGAAAAAAAAAATAAGCGGCAAGGAAAAAATGTCAAGGCCCAATATGCCCAGTTCCTCAGCCCTACGATGTTTCGAGCTGAGATAAACTCCAAAGATATGGCCCATGTAGTTGGCCGATAATGACACTCATACAGACAATTTAAACGGTAATTAAAATTTAAAAAAAACCTTATAAATTATATATCATTGTAATTGTCATGATTTTTCGAATGAGCTTAAAATTCTTTCTTTCATTTAAAAAAAAAAGTACTCTAATGTGTGGATGCAGCGGTAACGCAGATGTTGTCAAGAGTACAATTTCAATAGGTTCATTCAAGCAAATTTACAAGCCTGAAATTCTTTGTCCTCCTCATTCTCAAAACATAAAATAATATAACAATATTGCCCTTAGCATTGTACGACGGGTCAAAAGATATTTGCTTGAGAGAAAACCTATTGAAATTGTACTTTAAACACACAAAACGCACCATCTCTGAAAAGTAATTATAACGCAACCAACAAGCAGCTAGCAACAGCAGTGCACTTTATTAAAATATGCTGGGAGCTTGTAAAAGTTCTCCAGATTCATGCATCAGATTGTCCTGATCATTTAGGTCACATATTTAAGGCAATGTCACCCCATGTTACCAGCGGATGATGGTGAAATGTGGTAGATGTTTTAGTAATAGGAGAGTGACCAAGAAACTTGGAAAAGAAACATAATGCTGCATTAACGTAAACAAAGAAGTTTATTTAACGCAGGACGCGACGGTATTTCGTCGACTATCACACAAAACATGAATTTGTTCGTTCTCATCTAAATACACACAGGGTCCGAAAGTGCGAGTATTATAGCTTGAGGCTGCAAAATTGTGACGATCTAGAACCTGCGACCAAACGGTATATGGCAATAAATACCATCGGCGCAGATCCGTTGAAAAATAGAAGAGGGGGGGGGGCAGTCGTGAGTCCACACATTGTGGGGCTCCTTCTTCCTACCCGTCAAGGTTATGCGCCCATATTGATTGTGACAACAAAATGTGTCCTGTTCATTTTCACTGTCATTTTTATTATTGTTAAAAGATAGAGTTGCCTTAAATTTAATGCACTGGGTGGTGAAAGAAATTAGTACCGTACAACCGCAATAGTGTTTCTTAATTTAGACGTCGGCCGCGGAGGCATGACGAAACTTTATGTATGCGGAAAGTACAATTTATTTTTTCTGAAAATCCCCGGACATATTTCTAGTTGCTCCTCTTTTGACATTTTCCTCTCTTTGTTGTTTTACCATTTTGAATATCCATTTGGGATAACCAAAGCCATTGAGAGCCTTTTTAATTATTATTATTTCGTTTATTTTGTTTTGCATGGGGTGATGTGAATTAAAATCAATGTTTTGATGGTGCTAGTGGGCTTGCAATAATGTACTTGGGTTTTTATGGAGCAGTCATCGTTATCGTGACCCATGTAATCGATAATTTGCCTTAATTAACTTTATAGATTTTTGGCGCACAGTAAAGCCTATAGGAATGTTTTCAGAAGTGGTATTTAAATACCGTTTTTGAATCATTCAGTAGCTGAAGCAGCTTGTTTGCCAGTTTCCTTTTGTACACTATAGCAATAGATTTTTATTTAATTTCTTGTTGTAACCATCAACACAAAAGCAAGTATTTTTTGCTACTTTTTGGTCTAACAAAAAGAAATTTATATCTACATATGATAGTGTACAGTGACTTAACATATTTGTGGGATTGTTGTCGGAAATTAGTAATATGCCTAGTCTCTTCCTTTCTTTGTATAAGTGTCACTGTGTTTGAACTATCGTTTCCTGAATTGGACGCATATCTCACCGTACCACAAAGTAAAACTATTGTATTTCTTCTATCATATTGATTTTGATTCTTATGTTTCTTATATATCAAGGAGGTCCACCATGTTCAGGCCTATACCAACCATAATTGTCAACTCGAGCTTCCATAATCTGACAGCTTTGCCTGGTACAGGCAATTGGATAGGACTAACCCTGTTGGAGTAAAGAATGAAGCGGCATAACTTCGCAACACAATATTTTTATCAGCCTAACAACGTTTTGTATAGCTTAATAATAGGCCTATAAATTGGCACACAATATCTTATTTATGTGTAATTTACCTATCCGATATCCACAAAATACCGTAATAACATACTTATTATAAAAATGTATAATATCTCGTCTATAGAGGGTGTTCTTGCACTGCCAATTTTCTATAAAATTCTTTTAAAAAATCACCTGGAATGTCTTTGAATTTTACTTACTATCGCAAGTGTACGTACTATAATATTTACTTAAGAAAAGAAAGTATGTTTTTTTTAATTAAATAAATTGGGCCTGCAGATGCAACATAAACAATTATATGTTTCAGAATAATTGCAGCTCTGTAATTGGTCGATATATTGGGCATTTGTTCTCTAATATCCGAGATTATAAAACTGACTTATTTGACTACTTAATAGAAATCGAAACTGTGAATGGGACAATATTAAAAAAAAAATTAGTTCGACGAGGTTTGGTTCGCCAACGTAGTCAAGCTGGAATATAGGGTTACAATATTAACAAGTTTGAATACCATTACCAGGGTTTCAACTGGTTGACAAACATGCAAGTAGGTGGTTCTAATTTCCGCTATCTCTTGCACGTATACAACGGCGGACGTGACTTATTAACTACTCGA